GTCTCAGTTCCTGCTTCAAACTCCTTGGTCGGGAAGGCGCCCAGAATCCTTGTGACTCTGCTAAGTTGAAGATGTATCGTCGTGCTTACCGCAATTATGCCTTGAGTCAAGGGGGTTTTGAGGAGCAAGCACCTCCCATGACTCGGGAAAAAATGGACCGACTTCGGGAGAYAATTAGGCGAAAAATRCGTCTGCAGAAAGGGTGRCCTTATGCTGAGTCCTTGCGCGACCTCTGCATAATGACCTACCTTTGGGAGAGCTGGCAGCGAGGGGGGGAGGGTTTGCGACTTCGAGACTCARACATAGATGTGGAGACGCGGCTAGMTCAACCTACTCACACAAAGACCCAGCGGCGCGGGAAGTCTGTAGTTATAAACTTGTCCGAGCCAGCTGGTAGAGGCGATACCTTCTTGGAGGTGTATGAAGAGTTGCGCGAGTGTTATGCAAAGCTGGGGGCTGACCTCAGTGGTTCTATCTTTCTGAGTGTTAAAACAAAGGGTGTTTTGACTCTGAGTGCTTTTAACAGGAGGCTCAAGAGATGGATTGCAGAGGCTGGGCTGGAAAGAGCAGCAAGCAGCCACAACTTTCGCGTTGGTGGGGTGCGAGAAGGAATCAGGAAAGGCTGGTCCTTGGAGCGCATGCTTAATCAGGGTGCTTGGCGGAGCTTCTCCTCATTTGTCCGCTATGGATATGGCTGCCATAGCCGAGGCTCTCCTCGGTAAGGAGATTCTTCTTGCAATCAATCTGAAGGTTGTTGGGTTCCTTGTGCCGAGGGGTACTCTCCGGCTTGGCCAACACGAAGATCTGCGCCTTCCAATMTTGGTCTCTCCCAGGATCCTCATGCYGGCRATGGCTGGATACCAGGCTGTTYTGGTTGACCTTRGGGTGATGAGTAGATACTCACCCCCGAAGTAGATYATACGTCTGATTGTYGCATTGATGAGGACCGTAGGTGGGAAAACCCATAGGAATGAGTCTTTCTGAAACTGTGACCAATCTGTTGAGAGTGCGTCGACTTCGCTGCAACCTGCACACAAGAGTTCGGAAACAAAAGTTTTCACCACGTGATGAATGTCTGATGTAAAGAGATATGCGTCTGGCACTCCGAAGGYTTYRAAGAGACTGRCRACTATATGAGGAGCCAATCCTCAGTCCGTCGGATCTTTCCATTTTGATAGCTCGTCCGCCTTCGTGTTCAAGTCCCTTGGTACCCAGATGGGTTTTAGCTGTCCCTTGGTCCCTAGAAGTAGCATTGCCACTTGCCTCAAGAGCTGGTTCATGAGCTCATTGGGGGTACTCCAGTTCTTCAGGAGGGCTGCTACTCCTGCGTTGTCTCCGACGACCTTGATTGCTTCATCCTTGGTTGGGCCTTCTCCCCGTCGATCCAGAAGTTGAAGAGTAATCAGGACTCCGTAGAGTTCCCTGTGAGTGCTGGATCTCCTTAGTAGAAAATCAGGTAAGAGAATGTTGACCTTCTCTTCTACTTCGTCCTTGTGGAGGATCAAAGCTCCTATTGCATCTTCAGATGCATCGGTCTGGATGGTGGTCCCTACCGGACTGATCGGCCAATGGGTACCCTCCATACTTGGCAGTTGAGTCAGCCACCAGATCAAATCTTGTCTGATGGCCGGGTTCAATGGCATCTCTTGGTCCCAGTGATCTGGCGTGATTGCCTTGTGAAGGTTGGAACAGAAAATGGCGGCAGGTTGGAAGGCTCTGGCTAGCGCGACCAATTTTCCTGCTATTGAGGAAAGTTGCCTGCTGGAGATAGTTTCCCTTGCTAGAAGCTCCTGGATCTGTACCAGGATCTTTTGCTTCTTTTCGGGAGGGACAGATATCAGTTTCTGCAAAGAGTCGACATTGAAGCCTAAGAATTTCACATGCTGCGAAGGCAAAAAGAAACACTTGCTCAAGCTCAGGAAGAAGCCGAGCCTGTGGAGTGTGCGGGTATAGATGAAGGACAACCAGAGAGATCTTATATAGGAAGATGCTACAGTCAGCGAGTCATCAATATAAGCGAAGATAGAGACAGAGTGTTCTCTGAAGACGACCATCAGTTCCTGCATTATTGAAGTGAAAATCCAACAGGCGGATGATATGCCGAAGCACAGCGTGTTGAATCTGAAAAGGCGCCCTTTCCAAGCAAAGTCTAGGTACTTTCTAGAAAGTCTATTGACTTTCACATGGTAGTATCCGTTCTTTACGTCGTACGTGGTGATGAAGTCAGTCAGGGAATCCCCTGCGCAGGCTGCAGTGACGTCAGTCAGTGACTCATAGTGGAAATCTGGGAAGGAGATTAATAAATTGACGAATCTCAGGTCCATTATGAACATGAGCTTGGAAGAGCTTTCGAGAACGAAGATGGGATTGACCACTCTAGGATTGACGGTTTCCGATATGACACCCTGCCGAAGCAGGCTATCAATGGTATCATTGATGAAGTTGGAGTGACTTTCAGAATGTTCATATGGGGGGAAGGTGAGTGGGGGGGTTTTCTTTTGGGCTAAAGCCTCTCTGAACTCCGAGGCGGTCATAACAGGTCTTACCATTCTTTTGACTTCCTCTATCTTGTCGCTGTTGTTGTGAGCCGTTCCCTTGAAGTTTATCTTTACCCCTCTCCTTATCCACTTTAACACGTTCTCCGAATCCCTTCTAGTGGACCCTTTCAACAGACTTGTCCATTCGTTGAGGTGGTTTGACAGTGCTGCTGCTCTGAAATGCTCTGGTTGCCTGAGCGAGGAATTGGCTGCATTTAGGCAGCAGGCTGCCTGAGTCGCCTCCTGAGCTGACGGCAGGTGATGCAGATCTGCCAATATATCTTGGATGCTTCCTTCCGGCTCAGTCCCTATGGGACTTATCAGCCTGCTCGCCATAATCCCTTCTTCCCATGTAGTACTTAGAGTCGTTATTTGCACGACCGTTTGACCTATCCTTCTTGCTAGCCTGCGCCTGCTTCGCTGCTTCCGACACTGGTCTGCAAAACACAAGTATAAAGAAGGAAAATCCCAATTCATTGTTAGTCCCTTACCTGCTTGATGCTGCTTGGAGGACAGGCCTTTGCATAGCTGATTGCAGGCTTCCGCCGAAAAAAGAACCGGGGGGCGGCTAATTACCCCTGGAAGCCTGGATGACAGGGTATTCCCTGAATGAAATTTTTTTGTTAATATTGTTATGCAGTACACCACTGGAAAAGGCCATGGAACAGCTGGTTCTCCCTGAAGGTGTGTTGGATTACCTGGTTGCTGCGTAGTATTCTCTCTGCTGCCAGCTCTTCAGTATCTTTGGGAGTGCTTGAACAGACGACAGCAGTTGAGTCTTCTGCAGGAACCTCTTAACGGGGGAAGGTATGATAGGGTCGCAGTATCTTTGGGCTAGGCCGTCGGCGTCACAAATGAAGGCTCTGGCCTCCTCCTTGCCAGTCACGAAATGCTTATAATTGAGCTGAATCATCTTTGCTCTCACGATTAGATCGATGTGGCGACTCCAGGCCGGGGCTTCGTAGAGGTGGAGTAGTGATTCGACCTCCTCACCAGCTGCTGGGCACTTCGCACTGACCTCCTGGATAATTTTTTGAAACATGTTCTTTATCTTGGACTCGTCAGACAAAGAGAGTTTTTCCATTCTCCGAGCTAGGTCCCTCATATCCACCTGATCTTCTTCTTTTTCGGATTCCGAGCCAAAAGAAGGAATAAGGCGAGCTAGCTGCAAATACCTTGGCTTTCTTCTCTTCCTACTGCCTGAGACTTTCCCTTCCCAGTCTGAGTCGCGGTCGTCTTCAATAGCAATGACTTTCTTGCCTCTGAGAGCCTGCGGTCCTTCTGAGGGTTGAATGAGTCTCATGATGTAGATGGATGCAGGGAACGGTTCCCTCTCCTCTGGTCTTTGGAGCTCGAAGAAGGTTTCTTCTACATTTGATGGCGATTCCTTAATAACCTTTAAAACCTTCGTCTGATAGTAGTCATTGTCTGGTTCTGTGCAATAGACCAGTACTGTTGCCCCTACCAATGCCCTAGCTCCCTTGGATTCGACAAAAGCTCGAGTGAATTTGTCCATGATGCCTGCAATAAATTTTGATGAGATGGTTAACACAAGATAATCTTATAACAGGAGTCTTAGTTTCAGGAGTAGAGGAGTTGCTTTTTTTTTTTTTTTTTTTAGCTGCTGATGTTTTGTTATTAACTCGGGCTTTGGTATATAATGGTTGGATCCGGGATAGATTTTTGGTTCTGAAAAAACTCTTTGCTTACATGTTTGTGAAACCTGGTGATAAGTTTTGGCCTCGAATAGAGCTTGAGATAATTTGATAGGTTCTACCCTTCTCCTCTCTCCCTTTTTTTTTTTTTTTTTTTAATAGACGTTGGTAAAGGTTTCTTGCAGCACACAGCGTTGAAAAGGTTGCAGGGGCTGCACTTGGACATAGACCTTCTCTTGAATCCCCCTCCGCTCCTTGTTAAAACATGTTGCTTTGGGGTTATGAATTAATAGGTGCGAAAAAATGATTCTTTTGAAGCTTCATACTACCGTAGATACTACCCCAGAATGGGAACATTCCTTTTCTTCTTCTTTCCTTTT